CAAGGACAGCACTAGATGAGGCGCAACCAGCGAAGCAAACAGGATTCCGACAAGGATTTTGCTGCGTGGGCCACATCCAAACTGTGTCCAGTATAAGCGAAGTTTGTCTGGAATACCACCTGTCTCTATTCCTAACCTTTGTAGACTATGAGAAAGCGTTTAACAGTGTCGAAACGAATGCAATCCTATCAGCACTCGTCGACCAAGGAGTGGACCCGTCCTACATATGGACTCTGTCCGACTGTTATCAAAACTGCACTACGAAAATACAGTTTTCGATCTACCTCTTGCAATGCCCATAGGAAGAGAGGTTCGACAAGGCGACACAATATCGCCAAAGCCGTTCAGTGCCGCACTGCAGTGGATAATGAAGTCACTTGATTGGGGTCAGAAAGACATACGTATTGATGGAACATTTCTATCAAACTTTCGTTTTGCCAACGACATCGTCTTCTTCTCAAAAAGTGCTAGCGAAGCAGAGATGACGATCAACGAGTTCAACGAAGCGGGGGAAAAAGATCGGACTTCGCATAAATCGAAAGAAGACCCAGTTCATGAAAAACATGTGGTGCGAAGGCGAAAAAATTGAATTGAATGGCTCTGTGATTGCAGAGACACCTCGTACGTTTACCTTGGGCGTCCAATGAACATGGAAAACAACATGAAGGAGGAACTAGATATAAGAAGGAAAACAGCTTAGGCCGCATTGGGGCCTAAGCTGTGCCATTGGTCTCGAATAAGCCACCGACTAACTGAAGGACCCGAAAATCCGCGCTCATCTCTTGGATTCTACGGTCCTCCTAGCGCTCTGTTATGCTGGAGAGACGTGGGTTGATACTTCAACTACGTCAAGAATTCTTCGAACTACTCACAGAGCGCTTGAGCGATGTCCTCTGAAATATAACCGGCACTCTCAATATGTAGCCGGAATACGAAGCGCTGACCTTCGAAATCTGTCACATCGTCGAGATCCAGGAGAATATACATCGACAGCGAAACATAGATACGATCACATAATGAGAAAAACAAACGACGGATGGACGAAAAGAACAGTAGAGTGGACCCACGAGAATGCAGCCTAGGACAACCACCTATGCGTTGGGTGAACGTATAGCAACTATTGCCAGAATAGTTACTATTCTTTCATCATATCGTAGGTCTGTGGTAACCATATTCCTGGCCTCTCACATCGCTTTGCGATCTTGCAGCATGTAACCGTTTTCGCTTCGTTGAGAGAAACTTTGGTTGTCGTAAACATCCTTTGTGAACCACACTCTTTTTATAAAAACGGAGCCTTTTGTGTATTGCAACTGTTCCAAACCATCAAGGGTACCCTACTCAAAGCTAGTGATCATAACGAGTGCTGACTCGAAGACCTCATTTCCACTAGCAACCGCTATAGGACATGTTCGTAAACAAAGTTAATCAGCTGTACCTGCAGCTGGAGTAATTTTACAGATCGCAGTATGAGAGTCGGCCGCGCTACCATGCTCCTGCAAAGCCACCACCATGGACAACGATTGCGAGAGAAAGAAACGAATGGCAAATGCGCTGGGGTCCGCACAACTCGTGAGTGTAGGCCATCGAAGTATCGAAGTAAGTTTCCAAGTATAAATCTATGTAAAAAGTTGCCACTTCTTATTCTAGTAGGATGAAGTTCTGAGTTTTTTGAGACAGCAGAGCGTCATTTTTTCTTGTAGAACATCACTGAAGCAATTGAGAAATAGAAAGTTTGTTCCTGCTGTACGTTCTCTAGAGTTTTTAAAATCTTGAACCTCGCTCTTAATCTTTCAGGATATTTGAGTTTAACATAAAACATAAGATGAAAACAACAGTGGAGGAAAATTTTGCATGCTAATTAAACAACCGACCAAAATCTCTTCTATAATCCTGTGGAGTTTTCAACTGGGCGAGCTCTTTCCACTAAACACGATGGTTTCAAATGTTCCAAAAGTGTGGGACAAGATTTGGAACTTACATGATTCATAAAAAATAAAAAGACATCGGAGTCAAAAACAAATCACATGGAAGGAACCAGCCTTGTAGAGCAAAAAATATCGGGAACGGACTGAGGTCGTTTTCTGAGGGGATGGAGCGACTGGTATGTGTTTATGTTAACTACCACTGAGCGCGGCAAGAAATCAGATGTGAAATAGAGGAAGCCAACCATAAGGATTTAGGCGTCAGACCTTAAAACAATGACATCAGTGAACCTTTGTTGTTTGTCCATAAATATATCACAAGCGTTTCCTTCTGACTGTCACCGTTCTTTGAGCGCAAGGATGCGGATTACTTTCGAAGTGCTACGGATATATGGCAGAAGCGTGAAAGTTTCGGACGTTCCATGTTTTCTATACAAGCGATGTCAAACAACTACTTACTGTATTCATCGAGTTATGTCTTTTAGGCATAGTCATCAAGTGTTTTTTTTTTGAAGTTCTTTATGTCTACACCACTTTTTGTTCGCCTTTAATCGCAACAGTTATTAACCATTCTGTGTGGATCTGTTTTAATTGACGTCTCTGTGTGGTCGTCTTCGCTTGCAATAGGACGTTACTTTTCCTTTTCATTTTCAAGGTTCTTGGCTCCATTACGAAAATTCTGGAGTCGACCTCGCCACAACCATGCATAACCGGTTCTCTGACCAAGTGCAACCTTGTATTGCCAGAGTTGTTCGTGACTTTACGTCCAAATCTCAACTCATAGGACATTCCTTGGGCATACACAAGAAGCTCGATTTGAAGCACTAAAATTTGAAAAGTCCAAATTAACATGACTTTCGGCGACCGATACACATGAGCATCATGGAGAAAGAACTACTAGTCTCTCTCCAAAGCAGTTTCTGCTAGATGCTTGTAAACGCTTGTTGTTGTTATTTCATTAAAGAAATTCATGGAACACCATGCTGCTAGATATCGAATTACATTCGGAGTCTTAGATTTTCTATTAGTTGAGCCCATATTCTCCATTTTTCGTTGGAGTTGTCATCCTTTTTCTTCTGAAATCAGTGCACTTGGCATTGTCATCGAACTGGTACGTGGTGTTGATGAATGCGAGGTGAATTTTCCATATCATTATGAACTGCATCTTTTCACAAACTACAGTTATCGAAAATAAAACGTAGAACTCTTCCATGACAAGTTGTGACAAAAGACGAGTTCTCTTGCTCAGGTGTCAGAAAATTGTTGGGTTTTCACTTATTTAAAATCCGCTGTGGTTTATCTCGTTATTGCAGGTACTTCTATAGAGCAACGTTTCCATAAGTTGTCTAGCTATGAGTTGGCTGATAAATAGGAAACTCCGTTATAAACAAGAAGAATGCTATTCACAATCCAGCAAACCGCTAACACTGGTGGCCATGAGGTACGGGGTACTCCAGAAAGAGAAAAGAACGCGAAAGCCATTCATAAATTTTGCTAAGACCCAAATTATTTGTGATCATAGGTTCAAATCCCCCCCCCCCAGCCCTAGCAATCGTCTCATCGAGCCCTGATAGGGAACTTAGCACCAGACCAGCCTGCAATCGGTGCACTCTCTCCAATGCATCTGAGAACGTTATGGAACGAGTGTACACGTTATCAAGTCGAGCATACTCGACCAGCGTTCAACGATATTCAAAAAGAAGACAAAAGTCTACAAGCAACAGCCGATTGAGCATGAAGAAGCTCTAAGATTTCTATCGACGGTGGATGTGAAGAAACGAGTTCAACGAAAGAACTATTTGGATCCGCACAATTTGGTACATCTTATAAATCAATGCATATTAAAAAATGTGCCATTACGTTGAGATAGCTACATATTGGTCTTTCGAAGACCAAGAACACATTTCATTAAGTGAACAATTCCCATGAATGTTGTCTAATTGTCAAATAATTCAAATTGTGTTGTATTCTTTCTAACGGTTTACCGCCTCATCGTAGCTGGGAGGTGTTCCTGAGTGTCAGGCTGCAATGTACAGCGGACGGATTCACCACCTGGCAGGGTCTGCCAAGTTGAGAAGGAGTCCAGCGTTTCAATTAGGGAGCCCAGCTAAGTAAACCACTACCAGGATCCGTCACTGCCCTGGTATCAAACTAGTCGCCTGGTGGCAAATCTCGCTCTGATCTAAAAGGGCCGCGAGTGCCTGTGCTGGTGACGACTTGCGGCAGACTTTAGCCTGAGCGACCTCGGAGTCCAGGGAACCACAATGGCTGGACCAGCAAAACTCCGAAATAATGGAGATCATGCTGGGGCCCGCACAACCAGTGAGGATGGGACATCCAAATACCCAATTATGTTGTATTCCCATATTTTCTTAATAAGCAATGGTTTTCAAGTTATCTGAAATTTTCGAAAAATATGGATTAACTACATTGTTCACTTGAAAGGAAGACGGCGTCATTCAAGCACACGTTGTAGTTGGTCGGTTTTTCAGTTAGGCAAAGGCTATCTCTCATATTACAAAAAACAATCTATAGTAAATTTATCTGCTAAGTATATGTCGCTGACATTTCTATTTACGAAAATCAACGCATAGATGGAATCAACATTCAAATTCGTAGCAAACTTCTGAACGTAACACGAACTCGGTGGATCATCTTGATGAAATGGGCTAACACAGTAGATTTTACTCATTATCTATATGTCACAGAAAGATACGTATTAGTCTGTTTGAATGAGAAACGGACTACATGTTAATTTCATCATAAATGCAAGTAGAGTCATATTTTCGATGGAATTTTCTCTGCAGCATAACGCATAGGTGGTTGATGCACTTCTGGGATCACAACGATGTAGAAGAAAAATCACTAAAAATCGCTATCACCTCACACTGGATTTCGATTGGAGGAAAAGCAAAGCAGCGAGGGATCGGAACATTTTGATTGTGTATGATCAGAAATGAAATCTGCTACACAATATCATACGAAGTAGGTGCGAGGGAAAACCCGCGACCACTAACATCATTTATCAATCTGAAGTTGGAAATACAGAGATTGTAAAAAGACCCAAACCGCACCACGTTAATATCCAGGAGCAGTTCGAGGCGGTGGGCAGTGGTCACATCCTCCGCTTTGACCACGATCTCCACTGGGTCCAGCCAGCCCATCTGCTCCAGACTGACCTGGAGCACCTGGTGCTCCGACATCACCAGGCGGTCCAGGCGAGCCATCTTTTCCAGGGGGTCCGTTTTCTCCAGGCTGCCCGTCAGGACCGGGCAATCCAGGTGCTCCAGGTGGTCCTGGTGGTCCGCTTGGCCCAGGTACTTCGTTGAGTTTTCCAGGTGGACCGGGTAGACCGGCTTTTCCAGGCGCTCCATCTAATCCAGGTGGACCGGCAGGCCCGGGAGGACCAGGTGGACCGCGGTTCCCTCCATCGGCATGATTTCCTGGAGTTCCAGGAGCTCCAGGTGGTCCTTTAGGTCCAGGGTTACCAGGAGCTCCAGGTGGACCTTCAGGACAATCAAAGCAAAAGTCATGTCGTGGTTGTGGTGTGCCGATTGGCCCATCAGGACCGCTCTTTCCTGGCCGTCCAGGCTGTCCATCGATTCCATTTTCACCATCAGGACCTGGCGCTCCAGGAGGTCCTTGTGGAGAAACACCACATCCACAACATACGTTTTGCCCAATCGCTTCGACGTTCCCTTCAACAGCAGACGAGGTGTACCCAGCTTGACGTCGATCTCTGCGAGCTCCGGATACTCTTGACAGTACCTGAAGATGAATAAACTGTAGAATGTTGAGTGGACTTGTTACAAATACTCTATCAGTTCCAGCTCTCCTAAATGTTAATACTCAATTACTTTCTTGAAGAAATGAAGCAGCTTATACCATTGTTGTAAGGATTTGGTAGGTATAGTTATTATGAATATGAAATAAAAGAACATTATGAAATAAAGAAACACGGTATAGTGGTGTATATACGACTTGCTTTTTTCATACTAAACATTCCTAGGCTATTTTGGTCATTTCGGGAACGGACAAACATCCAAGCGAATGAAAGCGCTAAAAATCCTGAGTCTTTTAAATGGAGTATGTGAGCTCTAACTGTATGACTCCTGTCTCGCATAAGTTAACCGGCTCACCTACGAAAATTAGTAAGGAAGTTTTCCAGTTAGCGTACAAAGGAATATTGTCTGTTATTTCTGATATTCTTTTCACATAACCTCTAAGCGTCTCAGCAAGCCTTACATTTTAATGGGAAGAAAATTATTAATTCATGGTAACGATTACTTGTAAGTGGACGAAATCGTGGAATCGCTTGAATACCGACAAGATTTTTGCGATGGTTGTGGAAACTAACAGGCTAAACATCGAGGAAAAGCTGGAGGTGTATAATAAAATATAAGAAACTAAAAGAAAACAAAATAAAACATAGAGCGCCTTTTAATTCTTATTTACAAGCTAGGGCCACTCTGCGATAAAAAATCACAAAAAGTGGGACTCAAAAACCTCTAAAATCTTTCTTTAGGCGTTTTAGAGCGATACAGTAGAGAACTGCAGTTTTAGTGAACCGTAAAAGCTCGTTGTGTACGCATCGCTCAGTTCAATATCAAACATGAGCCGAAACCCTTTCATGTCAGGTTTTTAGAGAAGTCTTGTACCACCAAAGTAATGAAAGCGTCCATCGGGTTCGACTTGACGCTGGCGCCATAAAATTGATGGTGCGGACAAGTCGTCTAAACATTCGCAGCCTGGAGCTAGCGATTTATGGTTGTTTTATCTCAAATCATGAGACTGCCAGAAGGTGTTCAGAAAAAATAGCGGGTGAAATGAATTTAGTTAGCCATAGTGAACCATACCAAGAAAGGGCTAGACATTAGGAGATCTTAAGGTATAATAGATCTCTCTAAAATATAACAGGTGTAGCATCTATGAAGGTAGTTTCACACTTTCGACGTAAACGACCTTTTCGCATTTTCTAAAATTAGACTTAATAGCAAGAAATACTCCCTAGAAATAAGATTCATCACAACTTAGAGTAGCCAGATCATGGAGTATCTTAGCTAACTGATGTTATGCTTTTCATGGGTATTTTTTTTCATGCTGAATTTATAATTGTTTAGTTTAGATCAACAGTATTGTAAAACGACCATCGAAGTGACCGTTTTGCGATGGAGTGCGTCACGAAAACAGAGGATGAGGAACAAGAGCAAAGTGATCGCAATCGCAGAACTTGTTCCACGTTCGCTGAACTGGTCCTCCTCGATGAAAAGTCATCGTCACCACCATCATCGCTACCATCGTGCTCTTCTTTTCCTCGGCGTAAAGCAATCGTCTGCAGAATAATTACCTCGCTCATGCCTTGCGACAATGACGTATACGTTATTTCGGGTTCGACGAGCTTTTCAACGTATTCACTGGCGATTTCATAAAGACAAATGGCACGGCTGTGATTTGATATTATGTAACCAAAATGAATAAAAGTGAATAATAGACCCTTCGCCCCCCTTCGATGGCTACCATTCTGCCCTTCCACTCCCTTTAGGTTGCTGAAATTCACAAGAAAGGAAAAAAGATACCAAATGACTATTCCATTTTATGCGATGAAACTGAGATTAGGGTTCCTGTAATTGAAGGACGCATAGATTGCAAAACGACTACTCCTATGAAAAAGGATATCTAATGTTACTTTCAGATAATCCATTTGTTAGGGTGCTTTAGGCCCGTTGGTATTTGTAAGGCTTTCTCTCTTGGTGACTGACGTGGGAAAAAATCACAAGTGGGAGACATTTGCAGAACACCTGACAACCTACTTTCATTGATGCAAATTAAGAAGGAGGAAGATCACCGTTGGTTTTAAATCGTCAGCACTCCTGTTCTTGAAGCTGATTACCGTCAAAACACATAGTAAATGAATAATAGGAAACAAGGATTCAATCCAGATTTCCCTCAGGCCTTATAACCTTCGTTTTAAATAGTATAGAAGAAGATGATGGAATAATAATATTGCCAGCGCCGACTTTATAGTAACCTCGGCATTGTTAAGTAAGTCAGTCTTCGTCTTGAGCAAACACGAGTTTGTCTGCAACAGGATTTATTCGGTCCGTACTGACGTTTCGGCAGTTTCACCTTCTTCACTTCCCGGAAAGGTCAGACTGCATGCCATCTACCCGGCCAAACACTTTCACAGCTTCAGCAAAAAAAGCTGCATACTTTCGAATTCATCAACTATTGTATAAATCTTGTTATTGACAACCATGCGTCTGATCGAGAAGAAAACACAGACTTACAGATTCCAACTTTTCCTTCGAGATAGGAGTGCTTGAAATCCATCAAAAAGTAAGCTATACTGTTCACAGAGGTGCCAGTCTAACGAGAACATGAATCTGAACAACTCGTTTCAATTGGCTATACGATTTCCATCAAAAAAAGATGCCCAAAAGAAAGCGTTCTGTTCAACGGCATCATCGAATTCCGAAGTGCTTTGTTTAACGCTTCAGTGACAGAACTGAAGACGACATCAAAATTTATTGTTGAAATGCCATAAAAACATTGGCGGTCGACGTCGGTCATCAAAGAATACTACTTAGCTGAAAAGCCTTCGCCAGAATACGATGAGAAGGAACCAATTGTCCCATATGGGACTTCTTATAACGGACACGACTATCGAGGAACGATTCGGGCGCTTACTATCGTGATCTGGATTCCTGAGCCCTACTTTCTCCACGACTCTATTCTTCACTACAAAAACGTAACTCATAAGCACTACGATCGTGTTATTTACGTCTGGGACTATGAAATCAAACGGGGTTAGCACAGAGGACTTTGAGAAAAGCTGGGAAACTTGTACAAACAACACGATGTGAGTTTAAGTTCTTATTGTTGTGTTTGAAAAGAAGATTATTATAACACAAGGTAGAAAGACCTTGTTTGTATTGTTGCTCGGAGAAAGGAAAACAATTGTAGGAAACAGCTCTCAGTATTGCTGCTCGCAACGTCGATTCGGCGTTGCTAAACCATCCAGGTATGTGCCATTCACTCAAATCCATTATGGATCGTGGAGCTGATTTTAACGCAATTTTTAGTTCCCCAATGGAATAACCTCTACGAGGATGCATTGACTTAGTGTGTTTTATCCTTCCAGGGAAATCTGGCATCATTTTGTCGACTCCGTAGGGATGAGAAGTTTTATTAGCCCGGTTCCCGTGGATGAACCAGAAGACTATGTCTGTCTCTCCAATGAACTTCTAAGCACCGTTTTACATGTACCCCACGTTCGCCAACTCAAAATACGAAATATATATATACATTATATATATATGTATATATATACATTATATATATATATATATATATATATATATATACAAGCTGAACTGAACCTCACAATGTACTACACAAGAAAAGGAATGTAATCGACTATTTTCCCATAAACTGATATTTACGATCTCAGGTACTTTCGGTCACTTTTTCAACATATACCACTTATATTTAGAAGGAAATAGAGTTGTCGCTTTGAACAGCCAGGACGTCGTTCCTGTAAATAGGAAAACACAAGGAAAACCTAGAAAACGAAAAGCTAAAGAACGCGATCTGGTGATCTGTTACCGAAAAAAACAGATATGAAAAGAAAAGGAATGAAAATGATGAAAGAAAAGACGAAATGATGTCAGATTTTGCTATGTTGACATTCTGTCGCGTCCAGCTATCACAGTGTGGTCCGCAATTACGACCACGGTCAATACGTCACGCACAGTGTCATATTCAAGAGCTTAATTATCCCCACCAAATCTACACAGCCAAGAAGTGTCGTCGATGTTTCTTCAACAGTAGTACGACAAAGGAATTGCAAGACGGCAATAATGCTGCTCTACTCTGCAGTGTTTGATGAAGTACAGGAATTAGCGAAAATCTTCCCATAGGTCTCGAGGCCCTTGGTTCTTCCTCATGTAAAAAATTTCGAGTCGATTAGTCATAAGGATATGTGATTCGCTCCTAAGTGGCGAATGACATGCTTAGCATAGGTAAAAACAAGTGTACTCTTATTTCAAAGTGCATTTGTATCCAAAGAAAAGATAGAGTCTCTCTTCTATGTTACGGATTGACATATGTTTACACATACATTCTTATATTCACGCATGCCTGTTTGGAAGTTCTGGACGGTGATTGCGTCTACATGAATCGAAGCTGGTAACGCAACTAGTAGTGGTCAATAAGGTTTGTGCTTCCATGTAACAAATTCCACTTATATTTTGGAGGAATGCAATGAGGTACCTATGTGAATGCCCTGCCGCCTACTGCAAACAATGGTGGATTTTTTACAGCAACCCGTGGATTTCCTCCGACCAGAAAACCTGAAATTCAAAAGCACCGCAAAAAAGTGTGGTACTTTTTGTGCCCTTTAAAGGTGCCTTTAAACAACAGGGTGGGTCATCAGTCCTCCGAGATGGGCAAATTGGTAAAAGAGTTATCTCGAAGAATAAAGACACTGGCATGTCGTGTCGTGAGGTTTCTACGAGTGATTATATAGATCGAATACGCACTCAATGAAGAATATAACAAATGCATAGGCATCCTTCAAGGATTCACCAGAACCTAAGACTTTACCCTTTGTAGGAATTGTTCGAGCGTCTTTTTTGCATAAAAACTTATCCTGATAACACTAGCCACGTTTAATTTCCTTAAGTGACTTGGAGGAGTTGATGGTACGGAAGCTTTCAAAGTGATATGGGATTACTGAATAGGTGACCATAAGATTTTAAAAAACAACAAAAAGAAGAATAACGTACACTGTTCCCCAACGTCTAAAGTAATATCGCGGAAAGTTAAAAAGTAGGTCTTTCCTTGAGATTTTTTTCTCATTGGGAATTCAGTTGTTTTATGCGCGTTGTCTAGATCGGTTGTCAGAGTAAGGATTCTCTCGTTCAATGTCATTTTGTAGAAAAACGCTAGGGTCAATGGCCTCAGTAAAGACGGACAAAGCGATACTTATCACTTGTCAGACGTTTTTGCTTTTATCAAAGTAATAATGATCAACGCACTTAAGTAATAAGAAATCTAAAAAAGTAAAACCACAGAGTCGGCAAATCGGAGGCAGACAAGTCTAAGTAAAGAAACACTGCCTCAATACATCGGCAGATACCTGGCAATTAACTTTGAAGGCCAAGTGTGGATTAAGCCACCCCACAACGCTTCCAATGGAGTGGAGTGAATGATGCACACAATTGAGTTGAAGGTAATCTTGAAGATTTTGAATTCTAATGGTTGTAAAGTATTTTTACGCCAATGAATTGTTATCTACGAACAGTCTAGCCCTTTTTTCCTCTTTGTGCTTGTGAAATGGTAGATGATTGTCTCTTTATTCAATAGGGTGTCCAACAAGTGGGCGAAGACGCTTGTCGTCATTGCGCGCCATTTGCGATTTAGAGTGCAAGTTTTATCTATGCTAGAAATTCTAGTTATTGGACAATATGGCTGGCCCTACTGCGCTTAGGTCTCCCTTAGACTTTGCGCTGAAAAAATTGTTTGTTTCCTCGAATTGCTGGGAGCGTTTCGTGTTTTCTAGGCTATTAAATGAATAGGAATTGGGCCTGAAAATCGTAATAAGATGTACAAAAATACATTTGCAGGAATAGAAAACCTGAACAATTTGATTCAAGTGAAATAGATTGCTAAAAGAAAGATTTCTGAAAACCTTTTCACATTTCACTTTTCACACTGTATGCATACACCTGCAGCCCGGAGTTTTGCAAATATCTCAGCATTATATGCGAGTTATATTTCGCAACATACCCTGCCATTAAGAAGAAAAAGGCAGTAAATAAAAGAGTTAAGATTGTGATTAAAACTAAGCCTCAGCTTAACTGAGTTCAATGCCGATTTGGGCTCCCCAGATCAATCCCGTTGACGGGTGATTGCTGATGGCAAAAGATCAATAGAACTAGCTGAGAGACAGGCAAAACGAAGGACCTGGATGGTGTGGTGGTGAAGTGCGCTACTCCTCGGTAAGGACAATAGCGCGCGTTCGTTCCCCACCGCACACACCTTTTCACATTGTTGAGAGTTATTAAATGAATCCACCAGTCAATCGAAAAACGTCGATGACGAAAAAAAAGTAAGGAAAAAGAACGTAAAGGGATAAAAATGTGAGAAAAACAATTTAGATAAGGAAATCAGCTGTTCATTAGTTTGCCGTTAACGCTCTTGGTAATTGCTGCTAACGATGATTCTAGACGCTGTCTAGGGACATTTTTGTGTATAAAATTGCAATCCACCATGGAGAGAAACTGAAGAGCGAAAAGAAGAAGACAAGAAACTAGTATTCTTTAGCTATCAAGCTTTTATGCTCTATATCGTTTTATTCTGCATCGATGCTTCTCAACGACCACTTTCAAATGGGATCCAGAGATGTTCCCGTTGTGGGAACTGTTAGAACACGTGGTGATATCGGATGAGAACGATTGAGACTGAGGCTAACTGACTAACCTGTGTACGTGTAACTTCACGCCAGATGTTAGACGACCGGGATTTACAGAAGTCCACTTCACTTTGCATCAATGACTGCATGTGTTGCATGTAGTTGTACAGTAATGGTACCGTAATCACGCACACCAATGTCGCCACCGTCGACACGGCGACGCCGACGAACGCGACCCTGAACGTTGCAGACATTAGCGAGTGTAGACGAACAGCTAACTAACGAATCGAAGACCTTCGGCTGTATTGGTAGGATTTCTCTTGTTTATTGTTCTTTGATCTCAGTTTTAAACACGATTTCAAAAGCGTAACTGTTGAGATTTGAGGTTAAATACTTCACGAAGGGAGACCGATCTAGCAACTATGTTGTTATCGTAAGATAAAAATGAATACGAAAATTAACGTTGTTTTAGACTTTATAAAACTAATGCTACCAAGGGTTAAAACATCATTCTAATGATGTAAGTAGTGATAGTTCCCAGGATCGACTTGCTATTAACCTCGGCATTGGAATAATGAATGCGTCGTTTTCTTGTTCAGCAATCGCGAGGTTTTTAAACAGCATACATTTACCTCCATAGAGAAACACAATACAATACAACGCTAGCTGACGTTTCAGCAGTATCGCCTTCTTCAGAGCCGCTTTTTCGCGACTTCCAATGAGGAAGTTCAGAACAGCTGATTCTAAGTAGTGATAGTAGTGATAGTTATAGTTATATAGTGATAGTAGTGTAGTGATATAGTGATAACTAAGTAGTGATAGTTATGCGTTTATTTGTTTTCCTTGTGATGAATCATGTCAAACAAGCCGTTAGCATAGGGGAAAATATGAGTACTGGTCGTGAAGATTTCTTTATTGAAACCGTGATCACTATGTTGATCGGAAACCAGTACAAACTTCCTCTTATCTTGCTGTTGATTTCTGTAGTGAAACAAACTTTTGCAGTTTTCGTCTCCATTACATTTCGTCTTAATACAAAGATTTTGCTCTTCAAGACTATGATAACTTTTTACACTTATATAATTTTACAAAAATACTGTGTTAGAGACAAATAAGCATTGAAGTAGTTTTTATGCAGATTAGTAAAGGCTATGGTCAGTTGATAGGGCGTGTTTGGCGCAGTGGTCGAAGGCGCTCTACAACACACACGTGGAGTCGATCTCCGCGCCCGTGGGCCCTCCGAGCCTTCCATCCCTCTGCTGCCGGCAAATTGGTACCAGACTCTTCTAGGAGGATAGCATCACTGCCTCGATACATCGAAAGGCCACCGCGAATCATTATATAAGCCAGACATGCTTTCAATTACCTCCAACGATGCTTAATGAAGTCAAATGCATAGCGCATTCCTCAGGAATTGATTAACACTGAGAGCTTTATCCTTCTTCCTTTTTTATGATCAGTTCAGCAATAGGCGCCTAAAGTAAGAGGAAGCAAAAATGCGGAAATTTATGGTGCATTTTCTTCTATTTTTATTAGTTCATCATTGATATTTTTATTCGATGTAGGCAAGAATAACAGTCACCTCGAATGACGGTTTTCTTGGAGAGCACAAACACAAAGAACTACCAAGTTTTAATTTGTGCCAAACAAGAGTGATTTTTCTCATCTCCACGCTCGTTGAAAACTTGTGAAACGATGACATATACAGCAACATCAGTTGGACAGCTTCTTTTGTGGGGACCTTATGAAGTGTATCATTATTAGGCACAAATTTAAGACTTGAGGACTCTCTTTAATTATGTAGGAATAGACCCCTAGTGACTTATCTCCCCTTAACGAAGCGGTTACTGCATAAATTGTACAACGGGAAGTGTTCTCCCTTGAGGGTACGTCAAGTCGATAGAAGATTGACACCTCGATCTGGAAGTCCGGCTTAAACTAAATTTGTGGCAAATATACTTATCGTCGTGAAAAATCCTTAATTACAGGTGTTAACTGTTTGCGACGACGATCTGAGATTCTGTACTAAGTTTTCAGAGAATCATGGAATAAATTTTGTTGCTGCCTAACAACAATCAGCTGAACTCTGCATAATTATCTGTGAGGATTGTTCATTGCAATAGATAAGTGAGCTCGCATACGTCCAAGCACCCATATCACCTGCATCATCGCTCCTTCTGTTAAACATGGAGTGACTCGAGCGAGCACCGTAATCTCTCCATTTATCACTCTCGTGTGCAATACTAGCCCAGTTGGTCATGCTTGGTCTAAAAACTCACTTAGCACTATGTCTCCCTTCCAAAATTTCCGTGAAAAAGTTCGACCGACGAATAGGCGATTATCCCGCCGAGCGCCTTACCATCCCCTGGAATCTAGTCGCCAACGGCTCTTGGCCATCGGTTGCCTTCCAGAGATATTACGTGTCCATCTTGCATCGTATTCCACAACTTCTCGTATAGAACGGCGCTTTTGATGTTTCATGGTTGACGTTGGTCGGAGCACCCTGCATCTGTGGTGGCCGAGTTTCCGATACGTGCGTTAGCACAAGAGGCACAGCGGGGTCGGAAATATGGGCACGTGTTATTGGCTCTTTTTACAACATCCCCGATACCCCTAAAAGCTCCACAAGTCGTTAGTTTCTTCCATGTCAAATCTGGAGTGAAGTCATTCATCATGTTGACTTTTCGACGCAGATATACATAACTGGAATATTCCAAGATATTCATCTCGCTGAGATTGTGGATGGAAAAACAATGGAAACGATTGTTAGAGAGATCAGATTAGTGCTTGTAGATAATGCGCTCCATTAGCTTTTTAGAAGTTTCAGCTGTTTCGCTTCATCGACAGAGCGCAATGTTGCTAGTCTAGTGATTGGTGAAGCTTCGGTTGGCTATATTTCCAATTCTCTTGAAAATAAATGGAAGTTCCTTCTATTGTTCAATGAATCATAAAATGAAATTCTAGGATTTTCTCAGATATAATACGATAAGCTTTGCGGATCTATTGGAACCAGAAGACAGTTCCAATGAAGTAGCCACAGCGATCAATTAATCAAACAACTGGGTAATTGAAGCACTTTTTGAGAGCAAGATGTGGCACCGTCAACGAGTTTGCTTCGTACTGTAAGTTGGCCATAATAATACCGTTACGATTATTATATGCTGCAACTTGCTGCATTTATGAGGGCCTCACGCTTTTTTAAGATAGGGTTCGAGAAATTTTTCAGAATTTAGAAAGCGAGCAAATTAATTAAGTTAAATTACTAGATTGATTTAATCGAATTGAGGCTCATTGAAGTTTCGAGAAAGATAAACAGAAAGGACGACAGCCAGAAAATCGAACTATCGACGACATGACGCTGAGTTCGGACAGTAACGGCTTTCATTTTATATTGAACAAAGCTCGTTATTTAATGCCAAGCTGGACTACATTTCCTATTCTTCGGGTTATGCAACGATTAAAAGCTCTTTTTCTTCAAAAGTGTCAAAGTTCAAAATCCCTAGGAAAAAGGGGAAAAAGAATGAAACCATCCCAACTTGTAGTGATTGAATTAGTCGGAAAAAAATAAATTTAATGAAATTTAAAATTAGAATGGTTGTTTTCAAGACGTTGCAGCTCGAAAAAATCTCATGCAAATCGTTTCGAATCTTAAAGAGCGCAAGTTAGAAAAGTTTATCGACATAAATATTTCTGGTAATCTGTTGGGAAAAGTTTTGAACGTTGGAAAAAATCCGGTGAATTTCATCCACATATTGGTAATAAAATGATAAGAAGCCTTATATTCAAATAGACAGTAATGGAAAGTCACATTCTTAATGTTGAAAAATCGATGGATGAATCTGATGAATAGTAATAATAAATCCTAGTAAATAATGTTAGAGACAAGAAGAAAATGTCCGGTGTTTTAGGGATAAAAGCTCTCTCATTGATTGCCAGTTACAATCAGAGGAACTATAATTTTGGTAACGGCGCGAGTTTTGAATCAAATAGTTCGTAGCGGATTGGAAATGAATGGAAAATCGGAAACTGTACGAGTTTACCTTCGCAGCGTTAGCGCTTCGGCTTCGAGTCGTTTAGCGTCGTCGTCGATCATCGTTGTGCGGTTGGCCGCCAATCGTCGGCTTTTATAACCCGCCCACTCTCCCATACACACCTCTTCCAGTCACGCCCATTTTTCTTAAGAACAACACAACACGTTCGATTATGGATGTCTGAGCTGTTTTATAGATAAGCATAGCTTCAGTATGTTCTTGGAGTAACCGATAGCGAAAATCCAATGTTCAAATGCTAAAAGAGTTTGCAGTTAGAGGATGGCTTACAAGCGAAGGTCGAAATTTGATTTGCGCTGCTATAGTTGTATTGTCAGCAATTACGGTAGGGCTTTCCCAAATTTTTGTGATCATGATAGCTAATGACCGTGTGACACACTCCCTATCGCAGTTGCCCCGATTGATCTAAGTAACCCACACCAAAATTCATCTGGTACACGTCAAGTCTTCATCGCGACATCTGCATGAAGTGGCTGCTATAGAATCTCTTTAAGATAATGATCATGGTCATGTTAATGTACTCTTTGTAAGTGTTTGCTACTGTATGTCTAATCCAGTGGCTTTGTCAGCGCTATTGTTTTGTTAGAGAGTAACGTTGTGCGATGGATTAGTTACAGTGGCACCAAATCTATGTAACTCGTCCGAAACGATGAAGTATTTGATGTGAAAGCTGAGTAGAAAAGGGAAAAAACGCACTCTCGCTATACTTCGATCAACTCATTCGACTTCATGAAGTCATCTACCAAGTTCCTCTAATGACGGTTAATTGTCACCACTTCTAGGTCAGTAGTTTAAGTGGACACACTAGCGAATTACCTGAACGTATTCCTCATGAAACCAGTTTAAAGGTAAAAAGGCCTTAGACATTCCTTAGAGGTGTTTTGTTTATTAAAGAGTCCATTCACTCTTGATGCTTACCGATAGTGCCCGATTGGCCGTGTTCCTCCTCTATTTTCAGTGCTCTTGACAAATCAGTGCTAATTCGATGGCATCTTAGGATATTCTGGATCGTTACCCATGCTCCTTCCGATCTATTAATGCTTTTTTGAGGTGGGCGGTGTTTTTTGAGGCTCTTTATGCATAGCTCTCCTCACATCAAGATGTCACTTTGCTTTAATCGGGTCGACACCATTCACATGAAGGAGAATTGTGAAACTATTACGAGTAAGCAGTGACAATTTTTATTTGAATAAGCTACCCGGAGATGTGTAAAGCTTCTATCTTTGTTTTCTTGGGTTGGTTAATCGGTTTTTTAAAGTTCTGTACACAACATAGTAACTTCTTTCTTTTTATATTCTAGCCACAATGAACAAAACTTTCGAGTGTTACAAAGAAGTTTATAATACTCGACTATACGAATAGCTGAAGAGTAAGAAAATGGGATCAGAAAAGAACATCTGTAAATTGCTAACCTAAGCAATTACTTGGATAGCCCGTTTTTACAAGCCGTGTTGCTCCCAGCACTTTCATTCGTTTTGTTGCTTTGCACCCGCTACCTATGGAAGTATTAAAGCGCATCTTTTAATGGGAGCCGGAAATAGTAAGGTGAGGTATTCTCAAGTCCTCATTACAAGCAGTTATCGGTCTTTGTAAATCGGAGTGAAGTTCACTGGTTTATAAGCAGGGTTCCACTAGGAAGACTGTAGCTCCTGTGACAGCAAGGAATCTTGCAGCTGCTTGATTTAGCGCTCATGAACGGCCTTTGTTTATTTATTGTCTTACATGATCACTTTTCTCAATTATTATGCGAATTCCAGCACTCCGTGCATTCCTCTCATTCATAATCCACGAAGGTCTTCGACCTTTTTGAATACCATTGAATACAGCTCGAGTCGGTTCTCTCTCGAATGTCAGGATAGCCGTTCTACAGCGTTTCCAAATACACTGGAGACGATAGGTGAGCATAGAAAACTTTCTGGCACCGGTTTTCGATCGAGCAAGAGGATTGGATGATCATGCGCGAGGTCAA